GTCTAAAATAGCTTAGCCAATCCAAACTATGATTTACAAGAATTTTTATAAACATTGAGGGTGGACCATGCAGAAGTGTGAAGTGTCACAGATCATGTTTTCCAATTCTATGCGCAGCGTTACTGAGACTTCGGACTCGCGTGAATCGCTTAGTACTTCTTAATCGACGTATTATAGTTTGGATTGGCTTAGCTCTCTTCATGTACCAGAATTAACTAATTTCTATTAATCTATTCGGTCATTCAGTGTTTCATTTTGACGACCTTTGACAACCTTGACTGACAGCAGTGATTTATTAGCTTTTTTATAACTTTTATTTCTGAACTTTATATGGGTTTTTTATCAGGCTTGCTTTGTGAATTGGTGTTGTAGACACTATTCATACATCAATACCAAAAAATCAATTATAATCGATTTCTCGCATTCTTAAAATATTATATATTTTTTTACCCTTTGAAATTTTTTCCCGTCACTGGGTTACTTTGTTGCTATGCTTAGTAACACCCCTGGTTTTGTTTACCGCCAAATAATTAGATTAACCAATGTTCTTGAAATTGTGCTTTTTTAAGGCAAGGAATAGCTCTGCAATGAGCTGGTTCCCTGTTTACGCCTGCAACGAAGGCCTGCTAATCTGGTTCAGTTTTCATCAGATTACTTWAGAATAAATGTCCGCAAAAATGGAACAAAATCAGTTTCTTCGACAAAACTAGAAAACTCAACTTTGTTCGTCTTTTCCATATATTTAGCCCCAAGCAAGATAGCCTGTTCCAGGCTCTCGGTAGTTGGGGACGAGGGACCATGCAGTATGATATGGATTTTAGGTTACATGTAGGGTTAATGGTAATTTATATTGATGAAATATGATAATTATCCTTGAATGTAGCTTAACGATAAGTGGCTAGTGGCTATGTAAATGTGTGGTTTTCGTCATGGGTTTGAATTCTCGACTCACTTTGAAACAAGCTTTTCATTCCATTTTGAATGTGATATTGAACAGTACGCAGTGGCGATTTATAGCAATATTCGTTGGCTTCGATTATGATCTAGAATTTGTTTGCGCAAAAAGATCTTTGTACAAAACAAGACAATATCTAATTAAATATTCAACATTGCATCAAGGGTTCGGAGCGGAAGTTGTAGATAAGTCATCCGTAAAAAGCGCCTA